TACTGGAATGGAACTTTCTTAACCCAGAAGGTAGGATTTATAATGCATAATCATTTCCTTGTAGTGAATTGTTTCAAGTTAACACTTGTTTAGATATTTTTACACTACAGCAGTTATGCAATGGTTTATAGAATTCATGGAATATTTTTATCAGTACAGGAATTAAAACTGAATCTTTTTAAAAAAATGGTATGGCTAAGGAGAAAACACAATGAGATTCTGGGGTAATGGCTTATAGAAGGATTTCTTATATAATTATATAAATATATATATAATTTTAAAAACTATATAGTTAATTATATATATAGTTAATTAAAAAAAATAACGGGCTACTATGTAATAGGCACTATTTAAGACCTTGGAGATAGAACAAAATATTGACCCACCCAAAGACATTAAACTAAGGTCACTGGCTATTCCGGCACTTTCTAGAAGCTCATTAAAATATAAATTAAGACTCCACCCAGATCTATCAAATCAGACTGGGGGTGGAGCCCAGAAATCTGATTCCATAAACTCGAATGATGCTAATGCTCACTGAAGTTTGATAAGCAGTATCCTAGATTTGTTAAATGAATAGAATTTGAAATGTCACAGGTTTCCTACCTGGTGACGGAGTGGAGGACCAAGGAGCAGCTAACAGATAAAGGTGCTTCAGTTACCACTATTCAGGCTTTTTCCCTGAAGGGAAATACTCAGGATTACAAAGAAGGGTGAGCTTTCTCTGAAGACCATTTCCTTAGTCATGGTTTTCTTTAAGTATCTAGACTTGATCTTAATGTTTATGGAAGCTTTAATGTATATATGGAATGTAACCATATAAAAAAATAAATGAGAAAGCCAGGTCAGAGAAAAAAATGAAATTAAGAAAAATGAGATAAGTGTTGGTAACAGTTTAGCACATAGTCAACATTCTAGGAAGACAAATTATTCAACTTTCCTTTCTCTTGTTTTCTGTAAAAATATCTAATCTCTCTTCTCACTGTCCTCTGATTTCCCTTTAACTTTGTGCTGATTTGATCTAAAACATTTCTTAAAAATATTTATTGAGCATCTAGTATGTCAGGTACAGATACATCTAAGGAACTCTATAGTGTGGATGCAGAGTGGCCAACAAACAACATTTGTTCATACTTAAAATTAGATACAAAGAAAATGAGAGGATATGAATGGTGGGAGGGTATTTCCAATTAGGTATTTCTAAAAGGGCCTCTCTGAAGTGACATTTGAGCTGAGAACTGAAGGGAAGATAAAAGGAACTAGAAATGCAAAAATATGAGAGAAAAGCATTGCCAAGTTAAACAGCACGGATGAATTTATCATCATAACTGGAATGGACAATGGTTGGGGGAAGCTAGAAGTGAGATTATCTGTAGGCAGGAAGACCATAGAGAACTTGGTTTATCATGTGGATTATATCCTAAGTGCAATGGAAAGTTGTTAGAAACCTTGATTTAAGTTTAAAATAGTACTCTTGTTGAGCTGAGGAGATGGAGGTGTGAGTGGGGACAGGGCTGAACATAAACTAGTTGAGATGTTCTAAATGAATGAATTTTAAAGTGAGCTGGGGAAAGGAAGGTATTGGTTGAAATCCTCGATAGTGTTTTAGATATGCTAATTTGGGGTGCTTACTAGACATTTAATTACAAATGAGTTTGAAGTATTGTATCGAGGTAGAAGATTAAATTGGAAAGTGGTACTTAAGTTTTTGGATATGTGATTATTTGGGGAGACACTGGAACTAGAGCACCCCAAAACTTAGAGCCTCAAGAGGATGTGAGCTCAAAAGAAGGATGCTGAGAAGCAGACCAGTAAAGTAGGAGGGATATCAGATCCATGATCTTGATAGCAAAGAGAAGGAAACATTCCAAGGGGAGGGTCTTGGTCAACTTGTTAATGCTGCCGAGAAGTCAAGTAAAATAAAGCTGGGAGTGGCTGCTGGATTGTAAACGTGTTCACTTGGTGACTGATCTTTTCAGTCGAGTGGTCTAGGCCTTGTTCAGGGAAGCAAAACAAGGGAAACTACAAGGAAGTTGAGGAACCCAGCAGTAAAACAGAAATTGGAACAAATTCAAAGTGGATGGCAAGTAGAGAGAAAATATTTGCAATTTGTGTATTAACAAGGGAACGATCTTTTCAATGTATAAATATCTCTTAAAATTAAGGAAAAAGACCACAAAAACCTAGTAAAAGAAAACAGGTAAAAGGCTAAAACATATGGTTCACAGAAAAAGAAATGAAAATGGCTCTTTGGCATATGAAAATAAAATGTAGGGGTGCCTGGGTGGCATGGGCAGTTAAGCAGTCAAAACTTGATTTTGGCTCTGGTCCTTATCTCAGGGGTAGTGAGATCGAGCCCCACGCAGCAGAAAGCGCGGAGTCTGCTTGAGATCCTCTCTCCCTCTCCTTCTGCCCCTTTCCCCCTGCTGCTCAAACTCAATGCACACTTTCTCTCTAAAATAAATCTTTTAAAAAATGTAAACTGAAAATATATAAAGATACCATTTCTCACCAAGTGGGCAGAAAGTTTGACACCCTTTCTCATATGTTGCTTGGAATGCAAAATTGTGCAACCTTGTGGTTGGGAATCCAGCAAAATGTACCAAAATTATAGGTGTATTTTTATCAGGAATCCCATTTCTAAGGAATATGCCTTCTGAGATCAGGGTTCTGAACTTTGGTCTCAGGACTACTTTGCACCCAAATTATTGATGAAGCCCCAAAAAGCATTTTGTGTGTCCTACCTGTAGTCACTGCATTAGAAATTAAAACTGAGTTTTAAAAAATATGTTAACTTATTAAAAGTAAACATAACATTTTTATGAGGAATCCTCTCTGGCAGTTACTGAAAAGAGTGGCATGGTTTTACAATTTTGCAAATCTCTTTAATTTCTGGTTCATCAGACAGCTATTACCTATCATATCTGCTCCAGCATTCCATCTGTTGCAATGCTATTTTACTTGAAATGTATGAAAAGCATCTGTCCTCACACAGTACATTGTTGGAAAAGGAGAGCACATTCTAATAGCCTTTTTCAGATAATTGTGACTTTTTTTCCTGAAATCACCAGTAATGTTTTCTGTTATGTTAAAATCCATTGGTCTGTCTTATACTTTGCATCCACATTTTACCCTTGCATAATCTTATAACATCATGCATTGGTCTTTCAGAAATTATTGGTTCACTGAGTTTTCAGACTCTCCAAATGTTGATGTATTTCAGTATACAATATCCAAGTCACATTTGTTAATATCACCACCAATTTTGTCAGAAAAGAAGCTGTCAAAGTCTTGGGAAGCTGTCAAGCTTACAATAGCAGATACAAGTTTTCCAAAGCTGGAATTTTATCATTGACAACTAAGACACTCAGTTGGTTTCCTTGAAATGACAAAGTCACTCTGTTAGCGTTTGAGAAAATATCTTGCAAAATGCTACATCTGAATAACCACATTTGTCTCATTTCTTCTTTCAATGAAAAAAATGTGGCTAGTATGGCTTGTAACTCAGTTATAGAAAGTGTTTCTTCTTGAGACAACCACTGTATTCCCATATGTAGCATAAGTGCTTTATGCATAATTTCCATTTTGTCACCCAGAATAGTAATTAAATCCTGTACTCAAAAGTTGAATTATATTTTGCTTCATCAAGAAATTAAGAATACTCAAGTAAAAAAAAAAATTAACTGGGAGTATGCAAGTATGTAGAAATGGAAAAATATAATACAGGGGCGCCTGGGTGGCTCAGTCAGTTAAGCCTCTGGCTTTGGCTCAGGTCATGATCCTGGGTTGTGGGATCAATCCTGCATCAGGCTCCCTGCTCAGCAGGGAGTCTGCTTCTCCATCTGCCCCTCCCCCCAGGCTTGTGGGCTCTCTCTCTCTCTGTCTGAAATAAATAATAATTAAAAAAAAAACTTTAAAAAGAAAAAAATACAATTATGACAACAGTTGGTGCTACTTCCTTGATTAATTTTAAGATGCCAACAGTTTGCTATCGGTGCAAATGTCAACACAGTAAAAAAGGTAAATTGAGTCTTGGGAAGCACAGTTTGAAAACTGCTGCTTTAATACTTACCCTAACAAATAACAAAGTTATATGTATACACAATTAATCAACTTCAGAATTATAAAAATATTTTGCATATCTTAAAAATAAGAACTAATGAAAGGACAGGAGGTCTAGTTGATCGCCAGGTTTCAGTGGTAGTGAGAGCATGGTGGGGGTGGGGAGAGAAGCTAGTAAATCCGTAAATCCACAGATAGAAGTTTAGGGATTCTGGGGTTTGTCAGGTTGATTTGTTTCAACAGACATTGTCTGAAGAGCTGTTTAATGAGACGCAGTGGGGACAACTGTAAATAGGACAGAGGATTTTTTTTTTTTAAGAAATCAATACTTGGTGTGCGGAGTCCAGGAGGCTGCTGGCAATTACAGGGTGAGCCTCCTGCAGCTCCCAGAGCCCACATGTGTGGTGTGTCCCCATGGCTGGAGATGGGGTTAGAAAAGAACCAAGGCAAGACAATTTTTCATAGGGGAAAAGTTTCCCAAATTCTGTGGGTAACCCCTTTTAGGGTAATAAAATGTTTCTGGAGAAGACGTAGAATTGTTGCTCGAAGGTAATCAGAATTGTCTGGGTGGGGATGCAGGAGATTATAGGTGCCTTGTTCTGTTTCCTTAATAATAATAATAATAATAAAATCCAGTTTCCCTTCAGTATTTTTGGAAAGTTGTTATTTTGGGGGTTGCCTTTATATTTTTTTAACCGGTATCTTAATTGGCCAGCTCTCAGACGACACATGAGTTGGGCTTTGCACACAAAACTTGAGGTGCCTCACTCTTAGGCGCATGCGGACTTAAGAAGGGCCTCAAAATGGGCGCCTCCTTAAAGTTGGCACCCACGTGCCGCTCCCTCTTAAGGAGGCACTGGCAGCAGCCGGCACATTATGGTTTGTGCAATCCCTGGGACAGGGAGTGCTTCCTTAAATGCCTAAAGCCAGGCTTTGCCTCACTCTAGTCCCGGATGTTCCTCCAATGCTTTTAAATGCGCCATACCTTTCAGTAAGTACCTTTTCTTTCTTTCTTTTCTCTTTTGCTGCCTTTTTTTTTCTTAATATCTTACAGGAAAATGGTGTGCTGTGTTCTCACTTATAACTAATTCTCAGCCCATTGCTCTAAATTCTGAGAAAACTTGAGAGCCCCTCCAATCTGAGGACCTTGGTGTAACTCCTTGTGTCTTCTCCCCCAAGCGCGTGGCTGAGGAAGACCTGCTGGTTCGAGGAGTCCCGAAGGCGCCGACCTGCTCTGATCCTCGGCTGTGGGTTGCACAGTGAGGTCGGCAAGTGTGACTGCCCCAAATCGCCCTGACTCTCTTCGGCTCAGCGTGCAGGGGAGTATTCCACGGCAGGACCGTCCCCGAGGGACGCCTGCAGGGATGTCCAAAAGGCTCAGCTCCCAGTTAGAGCAAAACATCCCAGAAGATGCCTGCTGTGAGGAACACCGGGAACCACTGCAGCTATTCTGTGATGAAGACCAAAGCCTGCTTTGCGGCCAGTGCTTCCACTCGGAGGAGCACGAGAGTCACGTGGTGTGCGGAGTCCAGGAGGCTGCTGGCAATTACAGGGTGAGCCTCCTGCAGCTCCCAGAGCCCTCGGAACCTGGCTGCCTCCTCTTCTTATTTGGGGGACAGATCTACTGATCCGCCAACACCATTCCCTCAGGCAGTGTTTATCAAAGAATACTAGATAAGTACCCTATTTAGACAAACTTCAAGGCTAAGCCAACGTAGGGCTATGGGCCATTCAGTTGTCTGAGATTGAAAATCTAACTCTTCTTTTTTTTTTTTTTAAGATTTTATTTATTTGCGAGAGAGAGAGAATGAGAGAGAGCGAGCGCATGAGAGGGGGGAGGGTCAGAGGGAGAAGCAGACTCCCTGCTGAGCAGGGAGCCCGATGTGGGACTCGATCCCAGGACTCCAGGATCATGACCCGAGCCGAAGGCAGTCGCTTAACCAACTGAGCCACCCAGGCGCCCGAAAATCTAACTGTTCTAAAGCAATGACTTTACCTAGAATTCTGTGATCTGTTTCTCTGCAGAAGTTATTCCAGGAGATATTGAGCACATTGAAGGAGAAACTTGAAGTAGCTAAAAGCATATTGGCTGATGAGCAAGAAAGAATGGTGATGATTCAGGTCAGTGCTGATCTCCAGTCTGAGCAGGGAATTACCTATAATGTTGCATAGCAAATAACATGAAGTCAGAAGATAAATAACAAAGCAGGAAAAATCTTTGAAATCCATAGGTATGAAAAGTGTTAATTTCTTTACGAATGAAGAGTTCTTAAAAGTCAATAAGCAAAAGGCTAGAAATTCAATAGAAAAATGATCGAATAAAAGAGATTTCACAGAAAAAAAAATGCAGCCATCCTTTAAATACTTAAAAAGATCCTGAACTTTGTTTATGGTAAGAGAAATACAAATTAACTTTTAAATCTGTGAAATGTCATTTGCAAGCCTTATTGACAGATAAAAAAAGATTGGTAACAGGATTTATACCAATGCCATGGGAGAATGAGCATCTCGTGTACCGTTGGTGGCCATATAAATCCTGAAACCATTTAAAAGGCAGTTTGAGAATTACTGTTCGAAATGAGGGCTTGTCATCTGTTATGCCCACTTCTGATTTCACACCTTCTCTTCATATTTAACTATTCTGTGCCAGGTATCCCGGATTCTGGGTCTTTTCCCTTTCAATTTTTAAAGAGAATAAATGGCCACTTGAGGATGGTAGAGGAAGAGAATTGACTGGTTCTCCAAGAATTTTTCAACTGATCCCCATTTTTTCAGCCTTAAGTACCATATATTCAACAGATATTGGGGTCCCGCTGTTTGCTAAGGACTATATCAGGTGCTGGGGATTTAGCAGCAGGAGAGAGGGAAAAAAAATGTCTGCTCTTGTGCAACTGAAGGTGAACAAAACAAGTAAAATGAATGGTACATGGTAAATGCTATACATTCTTAAAAAAAGAAAAAACGAAAGCATAATGGAATGTACTTTGAAATAAAGTGACTTTGTTTAGAATGTGGCATTTGAAAAAAACTCAAGCTGGTGAGGAACTGAGTTATGCAGTCTTGGAAAGAATCTGGTATGTACTCCTTTGGGGTTGGGAAGGCAGTGGAAACTGGTAGGTGAGGTCAGAAGATAAAGGGGCCAAGTCATACAGGGCAGCTGACTTTAAATGAAATAGGGAAACCAGTGGAAAGTTTTGAACAGGGGTAGCTTGATCAAATTTCCATTTTCACAGAAGCACTCTGGCTTCTGAGGCTAAGACTAGACAGTAGGAGGGTGAGAGCAGAGGTAGGGAAACCTGCCAGGGGACTGTTGAGGTCATGAGCAGTGGTCAGGTTCTTGATAAATCTCAATTCCATGGGGTCTCATGAGATGAAATACCATTAAGCTGCCTATTCCCAATGTACATCTCTAGCTCAGACTTCCAAGTGATAGACTTTCGTGTCCATCTTCCTACTCAGCATCTCTCCTTGGATGTCTAAGTGACAACTCAAAATCAGGATATCCAAAACTGAGCTGCTGATACACTCCCCACCTCTGGGATATATCCCTTTCTTGTTTATCTTTTTCTGTTCCAGTTGCTTTCTCTAAAAACCTTGGAGTCACCCTTTCATTCCTGTTTCCTTACACTCCCTATCCAAAGCATCAGCAAAAGCCATTTGCCCCACCTTCCAGTTTTCTTCATCTCCTTCTCTTTGTCACGGTGATTTTAGATTTCTCAGTGTTCTAAGTCAATTAACATTTCTTCATCTGCATTTCACGTTCTAAGATTATGGTGATGTTAGTTGATCTTGTCTCAAAACTTTTTTTGTCCTTTGTATTTACGCCTTTTATCTCTTCCCCTGTACTTTATATTTCCTTGTCTTTATATTAGAGTTAGAGCTGGAAAGTGACCATAAATATTTGTCCGTGGCATTTAACTTGAAGTCTATCACATTTATATCTATGATGAAGGGAGAAGAGCAGGATTTTAAAGAGATGATTGAGTCTGAATATAGGATAAGGTTCCAGTTGATGGTTGAAGAGGAGATGAACTCCCGGAGCCTGCAAGGGTGCGTATTCAACCTGAACGTGAAGGAAGATGGTCTGAATCAGCTGATGGAATTTGGCACACAGCTGAAGGAGAAGTCCCAGGAAACGCTACAGGTGAGATGTGGAAAACTGCGTGCTCACAGTGTTTGGAAAATGAGAGCTGAACATTATGCCAATTCTAAAATGGGACATCCAGTGACAACCACGAATGTATTAAAAGAATGTGTATATTCACCCAGCAGTTCTATTTCTGATCATTTATCTTATAAATATACTTACATGCCTACAAAAAGATACAAGGATAAGGGAATGCCGTAAAATTATTCCAGTATAAATCCATGGTTTAGAGGTAGTCTTTGAAGCCAGATTGATGAGGTTCCTATCTGGCCTCTGCTATTTACTAGTTTAACCTGTACATGTTGTTTAACCTGTGACTCAGTTTCCTTAGCTATTAAAATGGGGATAATGCCCCTAGTTTATAATACTGTTGTGAGGATTGTGATAATCTATATAAAGCTCTTTAAACAGTGTGTATGTATTATGCCATCGGTAACTATTAGGCATTATTATTAATGCTGCAATGTTTATGATAGCAAGAGATTAAATACAACCTATATCCATCAATAAAGGATTCTCAGAATAAATTGTACCATGTACTTACAATGAAATGCTCTTCAGCATTTAGAAAAAATAACAGCTTTATGTGTATGGATAAGGAATGCTCTCCAAGAACATATTATTTATTAAGAAAAAAACAAGGTGTGATATCAGCAATAGCATATAATATGTATCATATGTGTTCTTTAAGAAAAAAACAACAGCATGTGCTTTTGTGTCTACGTGGAACATCTTTGCAAGGATAAAAAATGTCAGTGGCTTGATTATTTCTTTTTGATTAAATTATTAGATTCAAATCTTAATTTAATGAAGGAAATAGGAAACTTTCTGAACAAAATGGCACAGCAAAATAACGTGATCTGTTTTAGGGTCGGGTTGTTATCTGAATAAGTGGACTACGTGTACACCTTCCACATCAGCATAAATATATTGTGTCAGAATATCAAATTTCAATTGAGGTGTCTTCCTTACCACACAGGGGTATTGGGCCTTACCTAATTATATGTATTTCTGGAGTGGCAGGCAGTAAAGTGGGTTTAAGAAACGGTTGAATTAGTGAATAAAAGAAATTACCACTTGTTAAATAGTAATAAGGAGATGCTTCTGCAGAGACTGAAGGATTTGGGGAAAGAGAACATGAATAAACTGAAGGAGAGTGAAGTCAGGCTTTCTGAACAGATCTGCAGCCTCCAAAGGATCATTGCAGAGCTAGAGAAGAAGTGTGGGGAATACACCTTAGCGTTGCTCCAGGTAAGAAATGATCTTCATTACAGTATTTGAGAAAGGAGAAGTGGACAGTACTCATTAGGGGTCAGTTGGAGAATATTTGATGATTTTCAAACATACATGAAGGGTGTGTAGGCTATTTTCCAGTCACCAAAAGCATTATGAATTGTCTAAAATCTTGATATAGTGGAGAGCTACTTCATGATACGAATTCTTACCTTGAGGCTATCAATAATTAGTTTGAATTGAGAGGTCCCTTGATAGAGTAAATAATGGATTAGTCAAATTATGATACATCAATACAGTAGAATATTCTGCAACCAGAAAAATAGAATGAAACAACTCTACAGTGGTAGAAGTAATTTTCAGAATATTTAGTTAAAGGGAAAACATGCAGAACTGCTTTTTGCTTGGTTTTAGTGAATATGTATGTATGTATAGACATATGCTCATTAACATTCACAGATTGCCTTTGGCAAAATAAACACAAACATTGAGCGGCCTTGGAAAAACAAGGGTGAGATTTTTTTATACAGTATTGCATATTTTAAATCTTGTAACATGCATTACCTTTCAACAAGTAAATTATTATCTTAAGACTCTGTCCATATCCTTCGGCCACCAGGCTTATATCTGCAAAGTGAGTGCTCTTATTTGAGAAGCCCTTACACATAAACAATTAGGTTCTATTCTAGGGCCAAACCTAGTTCCAGACAGGTAAGGTAGGTGTGACTCAGTTATGCTCAGCTTCTGACCTAGCTCCATCCACCGTCCCAAGTTTATTAGCAGTCTGCTTCACCTGCTCAACTCTTGTTACCCAGTGTAAGAAAAAAAAGTAAATGGGCAGAGTTTGAATTATGACCATTCTGGATAAGATGGCTGAGGCGAGGTATGGGAAATACGGCCCTTGGGAAATGCAAATCAAAACCACAGTGAGATACACCCTCTCAGCTGTTAGAATGGCTATCAGTAAGAGAGGATGGGTGCTGGTGAAGATATGGCAAAAAGGGAGCACTTCAGCATTGTTGGTGGGAATGTAGATTGGTCCAACCCCTATGGAAAACAATATGGAGTTGTCTCAAAAAATTAAGAATAGATTTACTATATGATCCAGCAATTCCACTTCTGGGTGTATACTCAAAGGAAACGAAAACAGGATTTCAAAGGGATACACGCACTCCCATGTTTGGAAACAACGCAAATGCCCATTAACAGATGAATGAACAAAAAAATTTAGTACATCTACTTAATGGAATATTATTCAGTCATGAGAAAGGAAAATATCCTCCCATCTTTGACAACATGGATAGACCTTGAGCACAAGATGCTTTAAGCAAGATAAGTCAGAAAGACAACTATTGCATGATGTCACTTATATGTGGAATCTAAAAAAGTTAAACCTGTTTAAAAAACAGTAAAATGGTGCTTATTGGGGGAATGGGGTAGGGGTGGGGGGCATTGATAAGAGTGATAGTGTTTCAGGGTACAAACTTGTAATGAATAGTAATAAACCATAGAGATGTAATGCATGATATAATGAATATATAAAACAATATAGTATTATAATTGTATGATGTGATAAATACTGCTACATCGGCAATCATTACAATATACAAGTGTATCAAAACACACTATACACCTTAAACTTACTGTTACATGTCAAATTTATTCAACAAAAGAAAAAAAGACATCAAGATTAAATATAAATCTTGCCAAGACATCATCTGATTCAGCAGGTTCCAAATTCCATATAAAATGACTATACAATCCCCACCTGTAATAAAACTAAGAAAACAAAAACACAAACATTTCCCTTGGGAATATAACAATGATTTCAAGCATTTTTCTGACTTTTACTATTCAGTGGTAAAATCTGATATCTGAGATTTAGCACCACAAAGCTGGGGAAATTACATACAAACCAAGTTTCATCATTCGAAGATAATTTTCAGGGGCACAGCTCAGAAGAGGCGTGGCTCAAATACCAGAGGTGTGGCTCAAATAGTAACCTTATCTCTTTTTCACCCTGTAGAATGCAAGATATTCTGTGGAAAGGTAAGTTTTCATTTTGGAATGGAAACATTGGGGTGGGATTCAGGGTCTGAAACGGGAGCACACAGGAGTGGAGATATTGGGGTAAGTAAGGATCAGGAGGTCATGTATTGACATCCATCCTCTGGATTGGTCGGGGCCTTAGGTCTGCACAGATAACTGAGATTGTCCTTTCTTTTATAGGAGCGAGTCACTACTGCTTCAGTGTCTGGAGCCCGCCCAAATCACAGACCTGAGTCTGTGCCAAGTAACAGGAATGAGCAGAATGCTCAACATTCTCCAAAGTAAGTTGACACATCCACGATTACAGGGCACTTGATTTTGTATCTGAGAGTCAAGTGAACATCCTAGATAAAAGATTCCAGAGAGCTTAAGGATTTAAAAAGATTGGAGAGCTTAATATGCTATACATATTGGAGAACCTATCAAGAAAATAACTGTATGATCTTATGTTGAAAGGCTCTCTTTTGCATATCCTTTCCCACTTTCCCAAGCCTGAAACGTGATCATAAGCAGAGTTTGACAGAAAAAAAAAAAAAAAAATTTAAACTTCTAGGGAAAAAATGTTGGGGCGCCTGGGTAGCTTAGTCGGGTAAGCGTCCAACTTTTGATTTTGGCTCAGGTCATGATCTCAGGATCCTGGGATCGAACCTGCATTGGGCCCCACAATCCGCAGGGAGTCTGCTTGAGGATTCTC